AGAAACATTTACAGCCACTGGTTCTGACAGATGCGGAACAAAGGTTAATGTACAGTAATATAAAGTATAAGAACGCAATTTCACTCCAATGAGAATCGAATCCTACTGCGCGTACTAGTTCTCAGCAAATAGGATTCAAAAAGAACTTTGAGAAACATAGACTGAATGGAAAATACGTTTCTAGTATCATATCGCGACCGGCATAATCACAATTACCGATTAACCCACCATAATTGCTGATCTACAGTATTAACCACTAAATTTTTTCGTACGTAACAATGCGGCCAATGTATGTATTTTTTTTGTGTGGAAGAGTTGGGTGGTTGTCAGAGTTTATAGACTATCACATTTTAGTAGATATAGAATGCACGTTTATTGAGTCATGGAAGCTAACAGTTTAGGTAAGCATGCTAACGTCAGTGACTGTGTACGCCCTCCGATTTTATTGTTTTAAGAATCAAGCATTGTCCACAGTGCGTTAAAACACCTCATCATAAAATCATGCTGTGACCAGTTTAAAAAGTCGTCTGTCTGCTTTGAAAAAAATATATATATTACAATAAGAAAACCTGTGGCTTATATTCAAGTGCGGCCTATATGTGGACGAAATGTACTTTTTCACATTTCGCTGGTGCTTTTTTAATACAGGAGCCTTAATAGTCCAAAATCATCTTCATCTAAAATCATCAACATACACAACATGCAAACCCGGCAATCAGTCAACATAGAAAATCTAATCTAAAGTATGCAAATGAGAGCTCACTGATTAGATTACAAACACCAGAATTCGTATGCAGCTACATTTCATCACTGCACGCATCTAGTCCAGAGCAATAAACCCACCCCACCTTCTCTTGTCACTCCTGATGCATGCACCTTATTATTTTGGTCCAGGACACAGCGTACAATCCTTTCAGATTACGACACACAACCATTTCTTTCAGGTTTTCCTCATCGCCATTACTCAGCCCAGCACACCACAGCCACAGCAGCACGTGAATTCACAAGACAACAACACCATGTCTGCCTTAAGAGATTCCAGAGATGACAGAGAGCCAGCCACACACAGCCATTAAAGAGCGAGCCAGCAGCAGCAGCACTGTTCAGGGACAGGAAGGAAAACTTGGCGGGGAGTTATGAAACCAAATGCCTGTGTGACAAAATGGCATTTGAGGAGAGGGGGGGGGGGGGGGGCGGCAGAAATGACAGTACAACATTAAACTAGGGCTGTGCAATTAAGGTAATGCATAATCCAAATTTCTCCATTCAATTAAATGTAGTCAAATTGCATCTCTTCTGTCCTGAATATAAGCTTGTTGTTTGAGCAAAGCCTGGATCTTGTCACAATGAGTTACTATACACAACAGTACATTTTGTGTCTATCATTGAAAGGAGAAAGAATCTTCAAAATGTTGCATTCAATTAGGAATGAAGTCCATGAATAAATTGATACACAAGTTGTATTCAAGGATTTCAAAACGTTTAGTCAATTAAGATAAATACTGTTTCTTTTGAACGGGGAGAAAGTCTTGACAATGTAGCATGAAACAGGAAGGTGAAACTCATCAATGGCCTTTTCTGACGTAATTGTTAGAAATAATCTCAATTACGAGTCAAGTAATCTCGATTATGATTTAGCCCATAATCGAGCAGCCCTACTGTAAACCCGGTGCTTTTAGTTACCTAGCAACAAATGGCAGCGCGCGGTAAAAAAAAAAAAAAAAAAAGAAAAAAATATGTCTATAAAAATCACACACATACCTGGCTGGGGAAGCGTTAAAAAAACTGCTAAAGTTCAAGGGCCTCGGTCTCCGTCAGGGGCCAGCCAGTCAAGTCAGCTGCTTTGGGAGGTCCTCAGCACAACTTGGTGATAGGATTGTGGAGGAGGAGGAGGAGGAGGAGAAGAAGCATGGTGATGGCTTCCCAAAAAATATTAGCAAAGCTTCGGTGATGCTAGGTCACTGTCAATACGGCCCTGTCGCTGCAGCTGCTGGAGGAGAAGGTGTGCTGCAGGTAGACTGTGGAGAAAGAGCATAACAACATGGTGACAACACATTACATGCTGTCAAGTGTCAGCAGCAGCAGTGGTGGCGTCTTTTACATATCCGTGTTTACACCGCCACGCCAGCCCACGCCAGCCCACGCCGCCAGTCCACGTTCAAAAGCTCGCACGCGCTCAGCTAGACATATATTTCCTCCAACTGTCGACAGCCCAAAAAAAAAACGGCCGAAGTCGCTATGGTAACGCGCGAAGAACGTCCTTGGTTATCCGTAATGTCGGTGCATAACGGCAGAGGGAAACTTTCGCTGCTCCATGTGTCGCTGGGGGAAAGAATTGTTCGTGTTTGGAAGAGGGCGGGGAGAGTGGAGAAGATACGCCACGCCACTCGCAAGTTGTCAAGTCTGTGCTGCTGCAAGACTTCACGCAGGCAGCCCTCACGGACGCGTCACGAAGCGCAAAGCTCGACAGCAAATGACCCTACGCGGCTTCCGGTGTGGTGTGCTGTCTTATTGTGAAAGAGTTGTTGCGGAAATATGAAGCATTATTGTTGTCAAATACTACGTGATTGTGTAATGAATGTTATCCTATATATTATGCGATTTTGAGTTTACTTTGGTATTTTATATTTCAGATTTCGAAATAATACGACTCACGCTGATGACTGCTGTCGTTGTGTCCTTGGGCAAGATACTTAACCCCACTTTGCCTGAAGCCCCCACTGAAAGATCTCAGCTCCTGTGGACTCACCACCTGCAGGAGGATCAGTGAGGGGCTGGTGTTCTGTGTTCTGGGTGCAGCTCTGACTGCCACCCCCCCCCCCGACCCAGATTAAGGGGAAGAAAATGGATGGATGGATGGAAATAATACATGAAATATGGGACAACTAACTTTTAAACAACAAACCACAACATTTTTGTTGTATCATTGTTTGCTGATGATACAAATTTGTTTTGCTCTAACCCAGACCTGCAAGAATTAATCAAAGATGTAACTAGAGAATTAAATACATTTAAATTATGGTTACATATAAACAAATTGTCTCTTAATATAGACAAAACGAAAATAATGTATTTTGGTAATGGTATGAATAATATTAAAGTGGATATTTTACTGGATGGTGTTCAAATTAAACAAGTGAATGAAATTAGATTTTTAGGAGTAACATTGGATAGTCATATTAATTGGAAACCACATATAAAACAAGTACAGAATAAAGTTTCAAAAAGTATTGCAGTGCTTTATAGAGCAAGACAAAATTTGGATCAAAAAACACTTCTAATGCTTTACTATTCTTTAGTTTTACCTTATCTGTCATATTGTGCTGAAGTATGGGGAAATAAATTACACAACCAACTTGCAACCCTTAGTAATTCTTCAAAAGAAAGTTATACGCTATATACATAAAGTGGGTTACCGTGATCATACCACGCCATTGTTTCTTAAATCTAAATGCCTAAAATTGCTGGACTTAGTAGAGTATCAGACTTTACAATTGGTATTCAAAGCAAACAAAAAATGTTTACCTGGAAATATTCAGAAACTGTTTATTAAAAGGGAAGAGTCTTATAATCTGAGACACAAAAGTAATTTTAGATTCATAAATGTGAGGACGACCAGAAAAAGATTCTGTGCATCAGTAAGTGGAATAAGATTATGGAATAGATTGTCTATGGAATTAAAAAATAGTGATAACATAAAGGTATTTAAAAATAGCTTAAAAAATACATTCTTCAAGTGTTATGAGAAACAAAAACCTTAGGAAGGAATTGAAACTATATGTTTCTATAATGTGTGTGTAGGTGCGTATATGTGTATATAAAAGTGTATGTGTATGTATAAAAGTGTATGTGTATGTATGTATGCATATGTATTTGTGTATATGTACGTATGTGTGTGCATGTATGTGTATGTCTGAATATACATATATGTGTGTAAGTGTATGTATATATATTACTTGTATATTCTGTAAAAGCAAAAGGAATGTGGAACACATAACTAAAGTAAAACACTTTTTTGGATAAGGGGTGGGACTAAATAAGTTTTTTACTTTCACCCACTCCTTTTCAAACAATTCCTCCGGAATTCATGTGAACTTAAACATTTTGTCTGTATATGCATGTTTGAAACAAACAAATAAATACAAAATACAAAATACATTTTGTCAAATTTCGTAAGGGGCATTTCCTTACAATAGTATAAAAGGTCAAACATGTTCTAAAGAGATGTAGAAAGCAGTAGTATGACCTGTCAGTAGCACTTTAATTAACTTCAGTTACTTCATTGTGTAGAAAGCATTTTGTGTTATAAGGGGAGTTCCACAGACTTTACCGAACCACACTTGAAACTAGTCTTGTGGCGACCTCTGCTGGTGCAGTTTCTCACTACATATGAGACATTTGGGATCGGGTAGTTGAAGCCGTGTTTGAGACAGTCGTAACATTTTACAAAAGTAACTCAATGCTTTAATATAGTTCTTTTTGAATGAACTCAGTGGTGTAACTCATAACAAAAAACATAATAGGTAATATGTAATATAAGGACATTTCAATGCCATAGTTGCGCACATTACAGCAGAATAGAAGATGAAATAAGAGATAGAAGATAACTATGGAAATAATAAATTACAAAGTGTGCCTATCCATCATTTATACATTTGTTAAAATATAATAAGGGTATAAAGGCAACTTGTATTATATAAAAACAGCTTTTGCCACATCAATCTCTTTTCAGCATAATCCATGGTTCTCATTTCAGTTTTACGGATATAAGGGTATTATTTAGAGTTTTTAAGGTTTGGTAAAGGTCCGGATGAGGGTGACTCTCTGGTTCATGTTCACACTCCTTTCCAGGAGGTGGCGGAAATGCCTCTGTTAAATCTTAAGAAGAAGTCCTGTCAGTAAACACACTTTCAGGAGTAAACAGTAGAGCTTCGTCAAACCTCACGCACCCGCAGACGCCGCGCCCTGACGCCATGTGAGGGAGCCGCTCTGCCGCAGACATGTCCAGGCTGCTACTGTCCGTGAGGGCTCTGTACACGGTGTCCCCCGGTCCCACACGCAGCAGGGGGGCCGTCTGCGTGAGTCCCGGGCTGAGGGTGCCTCCTGTCGGGCTCCCGTGGACGCTGCTGGCCGCGGGGAAGAAGGACGCGGTGGAACTGCCGGTGCTCAACGAGGAGGAGCTGGAGGAGCAGTTTGTGCGGGGAAGCGGCCCCGGGGGACAGGCCACCAACAAGACCAGCAACTGTGTGGTCCTCAAGCACGTACCCACTGGCATTGTGGTCAAGGTGAGGACGTAATAGTTTGTTAAGATGCCATTGGTGTCTCAATGAAATCATTGGGAAAGTTGGAACAGTCTTCCTGAAAATGTGAGACAGGCTGCTACTCTGACAAGGTTCAAATCCAGGTTGAAAACAGTTCTGATTAGCTGTGCAAGTGTGCATACAACTGAAGGATTGGGGGCTTTACAAAGTCCTTCGATTCACAGATTAGAGAATCAAACAGTTCAAAAGAAAATTATTATTTTATTTTAAACAGAGATTGGGCAGATGACCAATGTCCATATTGATTGATTGATTGGTTCATTGGTCCCTCTTGTTTTGTTAAGCACTTTGAGTTGTCTTGTTATTGAGTGAACAGTGGCTATTCTCCCTTGTGTCTCAACGTCAGGTGCAATTTAACATATATTTGTGCATATACATTCATACATCACCATGAAAGCTCACGTGTGTGTAAAAGAACGGATGAGTGGTTTCTTGATGTAAAGCTGAGATCAGATTCTACCCACATCTTATTGGTATGTCATTTTAAATAAGGTTAAGAGACCCTTTTTCACACCACAAATACAGAGTCATGGTGGGAATTGTATTCACTCGAACATGATGAATGATGTACTTTTATTATTGGTATAATTTTACTGACAAATGCAGTTTTATTATGAATAAATCAATGTCTTGCAGTCTCCAGTTTAAACTCATTTCCAAAAGTGACGTGTCAAATTGGCAGCAGCACACAAGGATCAAAGCGGGTCGCAGTCCATTTGCAATTCAGTCTTTAACTCAAAGTTGGCAGTTCGAATTATGCTCCTGACATAAACATAATTGATTTACTGGTCAGTACGTGTGTCCTTGGGCAAGACACTTCAGGGACCTTTGCTTCCAGTATGTAATAAATACAATTAACCAATTCTAAGGCAAATCTCACTCTGCCAGATGATGAATGAAAGATATAAATTGTGTTTCTTCACAGTGCCATCAAACACGATCAGTGGATGTAAACCGGAAACGAGCCCGGGACATCCTGAGGGAGAAGCTGGATGTGGCCCTGAAAGGAGAACTCAGCGAGATCACTGTCAAGAAGAAGGAGTCTGTGCAGAGGAAGCAGGACAAGAGGCGGAAAGTCAATGAGAGTTTGGAGAAGAAGAGACTGTTCAAAGAAGCCCTGGCTGCAGACACCAAACCCTCTGACGTTTGAGATTCAAAGACTATATCTAACAGAAGACAAAAACGGACTTTAGCTGCATAAATGTGAAACGCTGACTCTCCATGTGTAATCCTTGTGCATCTAAAAATCAATTCAAAATCATGTCTTAAAAACTAAACTTTTTTTCATATTACAACAATGCCTCACAGTTTAGTATTGTGATATATCGTACTTTCAGATACAAAGCAATATATATGACATGGTGCATATGATGCTAACATGTCACAGGTGTACTTGGTTCAAAGGGTAAAAACAAGTCAGATGTCTTTAGTAAGTAAGTAATCTTTATTTATATACCGCCTTTCACAGACCAGAGTCACAAAGCGGTTTACAATTGTGGGCATTTGTCCTCTCACTCCACACAGAGATGGGAGCGGGCCCAGTACAGGAGGTGCATGCCAGACCTATTGTACATGTTTTCAATGGTAGGGGAAACCGGAGTACCCAGAGGAAACTTTTACGCAGACACGGGGAGAACATGCAAACTCCACTCAGAAAGGCCCTGCTCCGACCGGGATTGGAAGTAGAGCATTTACTTTCCATTTTGCTGCAGTTCAAGGGTTTCTAGAACATTTGCATTTACTATTATGGAACTTTGCATAGATACGTACATTGGAAAACACATAAAAGCACATATGTTGTGAGAATGTTACAATAAATGTTTTCCAAAATGTTTGCTGCACAGTCATGCGTATTTTTCCCAACAGCCAATTGCACGAGCCCTTTCACGCTCGTGCCAGACCCCCGAGACGCGAACAGCCAATCAGAAGCGCAGAGGGGTTTTTAAATGCTGGTCGCGGACCGCCCCATTCGCGGTGCAGGGCTGCGATGCCTGTATGTTCTGGTTTCACTAAAACCAAAGTACAACGACTGGAAACGGGGCTGCAAACATCGACCGCTGGCTCTTTTCTGCGTGCCCTGTGACCCTGACATGGCAAAAGGTAAGCCAAAGAGAAATTGGCGTTTTTGCAAGCTTGGTAATTTATTACGTAGAAACGTGCAGGGGAGGCCACGAGATGCTGCTGTAGGTGAGCTTTGTGTACAGTAACCCGGCATGTGTTTGTAAATAGACTACTTGGACCCTGGTACTGCATGTATACAGTTGTAATTGTGTTGTACGTGTTTAAACAACGCATGTATCCATTTCAAGGAAAGCGGGATGTGCTAAGAACCGAACAAAAACAAGACGACGCCGTTCAGCACAAAGTTGGCTCCACCCGGAACGAGACAAAGGAGAATTCTCCAGTTTCTAATAAGGTTTGTCCGCCGTGTTTGGGTCTGTTTGTGTTTACTCTGTACACACCACGCTATGGGCTTCAGGACGAGCTGAAATGCAGTTGCAGGAAGACACAATAGTGCTGGGTGCGGGAGACATGATGTAATTAGCAGCACTTGTGCAGCTGTTGTGCTCAGGCCACATTTATCCCTGAGAACTGTCTGGCAGGCACTATTCCCTACGCCATAATAACATGTTATTGTTCATATTCTATTATAAACCCCATAAGAAATCTTGAGTCTGATTATTTGTCTCATATTTGAAATAATTCTTTCTACCAATTTTGTATCTTCTGCTAAAAATACCTTGGGTTTCAAACATGCGGCCCGCAGGCCAAAGAGGTGCCTGCCCCCCCTAGTGGACATCAAAGTTGAATGTCCCCCACTGAGAGTCTGGGAAAATATGGCATTAAACGTGAACCCTAAACATTTAGAAGTAAAAAAAGTAATCAATATGCAGCTCAGCGGTCTACAATACGGAGTCTCTGCTCCATTTTGTTAACAGAAAAATGTAAAACCTTATATTCAAATGTAAGACATTTTTTGTGAAATGTGTCTTGAGAGAGTTTGAGTTTATTTATTTAAGTGTCATGCACAAAAGTGCCCAGCCCACATGGGCAACAACTTCTGATGGCTACAGACCATATACAGACATGAAAAACAGAAAACAATTTACAATTTGGTGCATTATACAGGGTACAGAATCTGTTGACTCCTCTCCCAGGCTTTAGCAACAAAAGACGCAAAGGCAAAAACTTCATGGCAGTACATCCAGTTCATAATTTCTCCCTCCGGCCAAAAGACCTCTGGGTTAGAAGCATTTACTTTTTCAAATAAAATGTTTCGAAGCTCAAAGTAAAGTGGACAATACAAAACAAAATGAGGCTCATCCTCCACCACCCCCAGGTCACAAAAAAATTTCCTTCAAAGTTATCAACAGATTGCTTTCTTACAGAATTTCTAAATTGCAAAACCCCTGATATCACTTGACTATGACTTGGGTGGATTTCATTTTCTGAAATGACAACACTTTTTCATCCTGGCATTTTCAGTGGATTAAAATGTATTATTCTCCATTTTTACATATAGTTGCTTTAATTCCATCCAGAATTGTGTGCATATAAAATATAGATGTATAACATGGTCTAATGTAGATGCTAAACACTGAATAGGAAACGGTTGAATACTTGAATACCCTAAACTTTGACAAACTGCAGCTTTTGATTTGACCAGAGAACATCTGACTGTTGGTGTCTTTTGAAGTACATCATGTGACTTTTCACGCTCTGATTACACCATTTCACACTCTGTAATTGACACATGGTAACATTTTTGTAAGCATGTAGTGGAATTTGTTCTTGCTCTGCTGTAATGTTTCAAAGTTTTGACCATCATTCTGTCAACTATAATTATTAACCTTCAACCACAACATTGAAACCACAATCGAGAATAGTATTTCTTGGAGGTCACATTTGGATTATTATCACTCAAGTTCCATATCTCTGCTCTACTTTGTGTAAATATGTAACACTGGAAAATCGCTGTGACTTTTCGTATGCAATTAAACGAGTTAAAACTACTCTAAATGAGTTGAAGTAGTTTTCCAAAATGTTTAAGGTTCAGTACTGTGGTGCTCTCGCAAAGGAGTGACCTGTAAAGAGGAATACTTTGTGCTGCAGGGATCTCTGCACAAAGCCCCCTCCATCCTCCAGATCCTGCAGAGTCCAGTCAGAGCCCGTGTCCCCCTGGGCCCGTCCAACATGCTGATCCAAGAAACCAACGAGGCCGACCCAACCAGCTCCGACATGAAGATCAAAAAAGGTTTGTCTTGTGTAACTTGGACCACGTGGCTTTGGGCTTTTTGTTGGCTCAAATGTAAACTGCTCCATACCCTTAGTTTATTTCAGAACATGTTTGAAGAAGAAGTTTTAACTTAAATTATGTCTTGGCTGGTTCTATTGGTACATCTATCCAGGAAATGACTCTAAACAAGTGAATACTGCTTCATTACCCACTTAATAAAGAGCTCTCACGCCGCCCTACTCTCCAACTTTGTAACCTACATACCAGGGCGTCAGATGGTTCCTGCTCCCTCATGGTCAGCAGATGCACATTTGACCCGGACGCTTCCTGGGCCTCTGAATGCATGCAGTGTTTTCGGCTGCCCATCTTATGACACACGTTAGCCTTGTTTTCCTCAGGTGCCTCGTTTTCCTCTTATCGCCGCCTAATGCCTTATTCTCCGGCGTTTTAGACATACCTCCAGAGAAATGTGACGCCAAGGAGCAAAAGGCCCAGACCTGTGCCGAGGTGGGAGAGAAGACCACTGCCGGCGAGCTCAAAGAGTCTGCAGGCCAAACCAAAACCACCACCACCACCACCACCAAGGACAACAAGGCACCAGCACCGAAGAACCGCAGTCGGGCTGGGCACAAGAAGTGAGTCCAGAAGCTTCTTTCTGCAAGGGTTTAACATTGGAACTGTGAAAGTAATGGGCCACAATTTATATCAACTTTTATCTGTAGGCTACCACTTTCCAAACGGCCAAATTATGGTATAAAAGTATTATTCAGTAATATTAAGCCTTTGCATTCACCACTGACAAGTTTGCTACATTAAGTCATTTAGTAAATCTCTGCATTTTTAGATGGTAGTTTGACATTAACTGAATATTTTGTTGCATGGATGATTGACCATGTTATTTTTCTGTTTTAGAAGTGAAAATAAAGCCCCCCAGAATAAGAAGGTGACGGACTACTTTCCCATCAGAAGAAGCAACAGAAAAACAAAAGCAGAGCTGAAGGTTTGTAAATAATGGATCAGGATGAAACTATAAACTAATTGGTACTTGTCACTAATCGTATAAGCCCAATGTGGAAAGCAAAATACACTTTAGCTGTAATGCACTAATTAGAATCCACTCGACCAAGGACAAGTCTTTATGAAGTCACTGAACTGTTTCAAAAGAACTGTCTGAAGTGACCAGCGTGCTTTTGTTTGGTGGTTTTAAATCCCCACACCTGAAGAATTTTGTCCATTCTGGTTCACTTAAATTTGACCTGAGACCATCGCACTATTAGCCTGGTACAAATGACATTTCGTACTAAGGTCTGGACGTGCTCCATTGAGCTCTATTTACAGGTGGGAGGGGTTAACTCCTTTTGCAGATTGAAACGATTGGATCTGAGTTTACTGTGACGTATGTAGTGCGCCCGAGTCTGTGGTTAGCATTTAGCCTAGCTTTAGCCATCTCCTTTGCCGCTAACGGAGCCCGTGGGGGGTAGCGCCACAATTTATTCTAGCGATTACATTTGCTAAACATTCCTCTTGCTCCAGCTTCAATTACTTGTTAGAACCAGACCGGATTACTTTACTATCGCATTTTTCGCCAAACTACAACCTGCCTGTTCAACGCAAACTCTTGACGTCACCCACAACTAACACCTGCCTTCCGCTCTCTCTGATTGGTCGGTCGAAATTCAACCGATTGTAAACGCAAACACAGGGACTAGACCCAGACGTTACATGCAGTGAAATGATTGAGCGGCGTGTACGGATAGATAAGGCCAGGCTATCTCACTATAGAGTTGTATTTGAAATTGATGAGAAGGAAAAGCTCGTTACTAAAACCCAGAGTAATATTTATTTGTTGTGAATTGTTCAATAAAACAACACTTTTTGACTGTAGAGTGAAGAACACAAGCACCTGGACGATCTCATCAAGAATGGTGTGGAGGAGGGAATGGTGGTAAGGGTCTCTTCTGGGAAATGATGAGAGAAAACTAAAATCTTTGTGTTAAATGTATTGTTCTTGACTGTTGTAGGTGAATGAGATCGAGGGGAAGGGAAGAGGGGTGTTTGCCGCGACTGGTTTTAAAAAGGGTGATTTTGTGGTGGAATATTACGGAGACCTTCTGGAGCTGTCTGAGGCCAAAGCCCGAGAGGCGGAGTACGGCCTGGACCCCTCCACCGGCTGCTACATGTACTACTTCCAGTATCAGACCAAGACCTACTGGTGAGTTCTTTTAGAGACTGGGTAATCTGCAGGATCAACATTTAACACTTTTGAATGAACTTGAGGAAGAAATGTATTTGTGAAAGAGATTGTGTCAGTTGTTCCTTGTGTATAAGGCATGGGTCTGATTACTAATGATAATAAAGTTTTGCCACTAACACAACCAAAGGGGCCCCGTTCCCACCGGCCCAGTGTTGTGTGTTTGAAGATGACGAGATATGACATTTGATTTTTAACAAACCGGCGTCAAGGCATTTTGGTGGTGTTAAAACAGCCACACATCTGTAAATAGTTCATTCACCTTGGCATACTTTAAGCTGAGAGCTGGAGTTCTGAAGTAACACTTTCTGCAGGTTTCAAGTCAAAATGACCCACCACAATGATTAAAGGTACTTCTGTGTGTAATAGTGATGATGGCCTTCTTGTGACAAAGGCTTGTAGGCTGTTGTATGGTTGCACTACTGACAACACATTAGGCTAATTTGCTTTTAATCATAAGAAGTTACAGCCCCCACCATTTTTTCCAAATTCATCCAATCTAGAAGTCTTATTTTTACATTTTAACGGTCCATTGTAACACTAAAGCAACCCTTGAGGCCATTAACAGAATATCATCCAGCCAACTTCAGCTCGGCCAATATACACATGCCATCTAATGTTAAAAGCCAATATCCTTGACAGACTTTTTATTGTAACATTTCAAAGATGGCTCATAAATCTGTAATTGACAGAACAGAATCCCCCCAAAAAAATGTTTCTTGGTCACATTAATTGGGACCAAAACAAGTTTCATTATCTCTGTGCCAAGATTGGGTGGGGTCCTGTTACCCAGAATGAATATCGTAATCATTGCATCAGATTTGAATGAAGTTTGGCCTGTGTGTGTGTGTTCCAGTGTGGACGCCACCAGAGAAAGTGGGCGTATGGGCCGCCTCATCAACCACAGTAAGAGCGGCAACTGTCAGACGCGACTCCACCCCATCGACGGCACGCCTCACCTCATCCTGGTGGCTTCACGGGACATCGCCGCAGACGAGGAGCTGCTGTACGACTACGGCGACCGCAGTAAAGAGTCCATCTCCGCTCACCCCTGGCTGAAGTACTGACTGAACGCCTTTTAGAACAACTCCATGAGTTTTAAATGGAGGCTAGAGCTTCCTGTATATTTTTGCTACAGTTTTATATAGTGCTTTTATATTTTTCTCTTGTATTAAGGTGTATATGCATAAGGCTAGTGTGGAATATTGTCCAATGGATTTATTAGAATGTCATTGTAAATTATTACTTGTACTCAAAGAATAAAACTCTGTGCAGCACCTGCAAGAGGCATGTGGAAGGATATGAAATTAAACATGGAAACCTTTTGTTGTATGTGCATGTTCAGAACAAGTCAGTCGCCATGTTGTGTTTTTTAATTAAAATATGCCATATACAAAGTGCAGTGAGTAAAAGCATGATTCTAGAAAGGTATCAAATCATTTCCAGTTCTTTGTCAATATTTACATAATTTACAACTATAAAAATAATGGGTCCATAGATGGAGCTTGTAGTGGTCGCTTGTTCTAAAAAGGGCTAGTCTTGTCCACAGTGCGTGCCTTATTTCCGTCTGAAGGAAAACCTGAGAGCAGAAGGGACAGCTCTGAGTAAACACCACAGACATCTCGTTTGGTCACAAGTAAACCATTAGGACTGTGAGAACTGGCTGCGTGTAAGTGAATGTTAAATGACTGGATGGATGAGAATGTGTGGGAGAATTGAATTATGGGAAGGCATTGCAGCGTTTGTTTTTGCTTGTTTAACTCACTCCACTGCTGTAGCTGAAAGTTTGTAAGTCACTCTGTATACGACAAGACAAGCATTGAATTATTTGGTTTACCATGCTCTCTGTAGCAACATTCTTAAACTGTTGGAAACTGAGTTGTCGCTATACTAGTAAAAACAGCATTGAAAGTTCATAATTTAACGCTGGTGCTATGTGTACTGGGTGACATCTCTGGGTACCCCCCGGCCCAGAAATTAAGGGGTCGAAAATGGATGGAATTCAAGACCAGAGATGATCAAAAGTACAAAAAATATTCAGATGTCACTTTATAAAATTCAGCATTATAATTGGCCATTCAAAATGATAGGACTCCCTTGTCAGTTCATGTTTTAGATTGTGAAAGTATTTTATATTAAATATGGTGTAACGATGCCGGCTGCAACCGCTGCCATGTGATTGCACAGAACAAATTTTCACTTGAAATTGCCAAAACAAATTTATGGCAGTACTTGTTTTGAGTTATAGTTGTACAATGACACCATGCTCTTACAGGACGAAGATGGGAGCTTTTTAATCTGATATTAGTGTGGATGGACGACACGTGTCCTTTTAACCCTTCTGCTATTGGGTCAAAATGATCTGCCACAGGAGATTAAAAGTAGAAGAAAATTAGGATCTAAAGGGATCTAAATGACCCAGGGCAGGTCAAGTTAGGAAAAAATCATCAAAATAAATATCTATTGTATTTTTTTAATCACTGGCGTATGAATTTGACCCAGAAACCAAATCCTGAATAACCATCTGAACTGTTTTGCTAGCCTCTGCACATGTCCTGTGGGTGTGGTTTTAGCTTTTCATTTTCAAAAACGCTATGAGGAAAAAGTAATTATGAATTTTACTTATGGAATGACATCCAAGAGCGTGACTTTTGAAGTGTTTTGGTGCGACTCACAGTTTTCCGATGGTGCTCCTCTCATCTTTGCCGTTGCTGAGGTTGGTGGAGCTGTCCTCGGAGGCGGGGGGCGTGTCCAGGTCCACCTCCACCATGGCGGCTTCAGCATTGGGCAGAATCCCACTGGACACACATGTAAGAACAGTGTCATTTCAGCATGGTTTGTTTCCCAGATTCATTGAAGGTGACGTTAGTAGTATACTTTTACAATCTATGGCAAACATAAATCATTATAATGCAACTTGTGTCTCATACTGTATCCACTCAGAGCTCGAGGCCGATGGGTGTTTCCTCAGCTGTGTCCCAAAACGGTGAATTGCATTTAATACACATTATGCAACACTGTGGAAAGTCATTAGGGTCTGAATAAAACGCGTTGTCGAACAAGGCCCAGAGCAAAGAGCAGATCTCACTGTTTCACATGAGTTTGTCGACAGGCTAAAACACAGGCACACGTACATTCTGTGTATTACAGGGGTCGGCATCCTTTTTATATATAATTGTTTTTATAAAGATGACACAGATGACAATGACAATTCGAACATGTCCTCTGCAACAGACCAAAACCATACAGGCATGAATCAATATCATAAAAGTATGGACAAACAAGAAAACATGACAGAAAAGACCCAGACGGACAACATTTACTCCCATTCTCATTCGACACGCTCCTGGTGCTCCATTGCTCCAACGTTTAAGGTCTATAATGTTTGAAAAGACTTCTCCTTTTTATGGACAGGGATTGATTAAAGGGCTTCATAAAACGGTTCCGTTATTATTAAAACAGACATTATTCAACCTTCTGAAAAATGCACATCACATCCAATATATAGATTCAATAATATATTCTGGTTCCCACGACAACAACAAAAACACGGCACTAAACATGTGTGTTGTTTTTGCACCTTTTGTACAGCTGCAGCTCCTCCTGGGCCACCATGAGCTGCGCCTTGAGCTGGTTCCTCTCCTGCAGGACCTCCTTCAGCTCCTCCATGGTGAAGCGAGGCCTGTTGGGGTCTGTGAGGTCCACGAGCAGCTGGTTTGGCCCCACGGTCTGCGGGACGACAACACATCCACAGAGACACTAGAGCATTCTCCAAGAGCAGACAAATACACACACACACATAAGGCTTAATCTGGTCCAAGCTCGTTCACATTAGAATCGGAATCAAAATGCTTTGCGTTGTTGTTGTAAGTAACAGAAAGTCACAAACTAGGAATTTACTTTAGTATACGGCGAAGACACACAAAAAAAAAATGCATACAAACTCTTAGTACAATTCTAAAATATACATACACACAATTATAGCCCTGTGTAAAATCTGGGCTTTCTCATTTCTCATTCAAAGCACTAAAAAGTGAGAAAATCCATTTGTCTCTAGACAGTTTGGCTATGACTAGTTTTCACAGACTTTTTTTTTTTTTTAGCAAAAGCTAAAAAGAATAAAAAAAGTCGATGTATTTCTGTAAGAGGTGTTAATTTGTGGAACGATTTAGAAGATCATTTAAAACTCTAAAACAGTCAAAGCTTTCAAAAAGTTATAGAAATCTACTATCATCCTAAAATATACAAGTTAAGGATGAATAAAGTAAGAAACTAGACTTTAATAGATCCATAATGAATGAATTTAAATGACATGATTCATTTACATATATGTATTCTAAGTACATGCTTATTTCTCTTCTGTTTGACACTTGATATTGTTTACGATAAATGTGTTTGTTTCTCGTGGAAGTTTGTAAATTGGGTTAGGCACAATAAGTTTTTACTTCAGCCTAAACCCTTTCAGTCGTTTGTGCACAAATTATGATGTTGCTTTGCTTGTTTTATGTTTTATGTTTAAAGGAATGAAATGACCGAATAAACTACTACTACTAAACTTTTCTTTCAGACTTTGACTTTTTGACTTCTCGTTTAGTCTTTGAAGCTGTGTTTAGCAGACTGGCGGAGGGTCCATCACCTGCTTGTCTCATGGTCTCATGAAAATGGTATTTCAACAATGTCCCACAGTCTGGTATATTTTCAATTTCATGAGTTTTTAATTTATCAAAAACCCAAAAATGGATTCAGGAGATACAGGAAAGTTTTTGCCCCTTTTTCTCCCATTCAGAACTGCACTTCAACCAAGATCAGGATCATGTTGGAATTGTGAATTGTGCACCAAACATAAAATATCAATATCTGTCATCTGTGTTCATAATACACTATAACCCTTTCATTACCAGGGGCCGACAACATGGATTGTAAAACTGTTATGGCCGGTTTCAGGCTGTTCTGAGCTTTAAAATGTCAGTATATACACATAAAGGTTCTGAGCTTTACAACAGCGTAGAGCATGACTTTATTATAGCTGAAGTTGGCTGGATGACACTGGGAAAGAACCTCAATGGTTAGTTGGTGTTAGCGAGGCCGCATATAATGATGCAGCACGACGCATCTGGCCCACGAGCCTTAGTTTGTTGCCTGCTGCAGAGAATACATAAGAGACCGCTGTGGGAAGTCAATGGTTTTGTAGAATAGTGCATGGTATATTTTTATTGGGACAGTCCTGCTTTTGGGAAAACTGGTCATCTTACCTTTATTGGCTTTGGGTGATGGTGTCTGCAATTATTATATTATTATTATTATTATGCATTTGGTCCAATCTTGCAACAATAGTGGCTTATTCATACTATAGTGTCTAAAAAAGGCTGCCAATACCTATTTATAAGCAATTAGCAATCACTATTAGGCAACACATAATATGAACTAATATGTCCGTCTCTATTTTCAACAGGTGTCAAAGAGGTGAGAAAGATTCACCACTGGGACCCGTCATAAAACGAAAAAACAATCAAAGGTTAACAGTTGCAGTGATTTCCAAACCACACCTTTAAGAACGAAAAGTGTGACATAATGAGAAAATATAGTCCATGTGTCTGATTCTTCAAAGCAGCTTTTCTTAACGCTATAGGCCTAATGTTCAAAGCACAAAAAGGAATGATGCAAGAAAATCAACTAGTTTCTCACTCTCAAAACTGTTTGGTTTTATTACTAGTTTTCACATGCTTGTTATTATTAGCCTGTGACATTTTAGTTTAGCTGCAATAGACAAGTGAAAAAGAGAGAACCACTTTCACTCACAAGGCTCATACAAGTCTGCAAAAGATACTATGGTTTCTAATCAGATAGACCAGTGTTTCCCAACCTTTTTGTAGCTGTGGCTGAAACTGAAACAAACATGAAACTTTGCAGCTTTTAGTATGAAAGCAAAGTCATTGAAATCAAGGTA